ATTTCTTTGACTTGAAGGGATACATGGATTGTTTGGTATCAATTTGCTCAGTTTTTTGAACAGAATTCAAAATTAATGTAATTGAAAATTTCTTTTACAGTTTCAAAAACATTATAGTCGCTTCATTTCTTCATTATCCACAATTCAAAGAATGTGACCCACCAAAAGTGGGGACAATGCCAGGAATAGGGGCTGGGGGATTAGGGGCATTTAGAGGAAGCATACATGGTTTTTATGAATTGTATTTCTTATATTGTGATGTGGCAGTGAAATGACTTTTTCAGGTGCTACAAATCATTGAGCTGAAGCTAAATTTTTTACTATTTGAAGGCTGTTCCTCATCAGTGAGCAGTAATTAAATGGGTAACCTTCAAGTCACATGAAACAGTATTTCTATCTAAAAACTCTTTTGTCCAGACAATCATAATGTAGAGTTTCAAACAAATAAACATAAAAAAGTAATAAATATTCATTGAATAGAATAGATCATACAAATACATGAAGGTTTCACCAAAACTTGCTCAGGAATTGGGATTATTGGACTGGGAACTTGAGCAGCTAAAGCTTCCAGAAAATTCTGTGGAGTCCTCAGGTGCAACTCATTGCACAAGTTCAAAACACAGCAGTTCAAGCCCTGGTATAAAACATTGGTACATGGTAGCTCTTGTCCCAGGAACCTGTCATCCAGATCTGTACTCAGAAAATTCAAACAATGTATTGTACTTCAGTATAAAAATTTGCTCAATGGCTAACGCTTTGAGGTTTGCCCCACTTCTGCTTGGCCTCAAGTATTTCTGTGATAGGTACCACTGTAAAAATATGTATGATAGAGACAACGCATTTTTAAGGTTCTGAGATTTTTTTTACAGTTTTATATGAACAATTTTAGATTTACTGCATGATAAGGGAAACCTTTCCGCTTCTGATGAGATTGCTCCATTCATTTCATAATCTTTTGGAACTTTTGCAGGCCAGACATTACTTGAATCATTGGATGTTTCACTTACTTCTTGCTAGGTGAGAAGCCGGAGGAAGTTGTGCAAGGTATTCACTACTGAGAACATCTGAGCAACTAGAAAGTTTGTCCAGAACCCTCTGTAAGATCACGCATGATTATTTTCAATTCTAGATGATGATAAGGTGGTGAGTATGAGGTGGTTAGTAAACAATTCTTTGGAAGCCACCTGTGATATTTTCAAAGCTGTGTGACAGTAAAAGTAAATCATGAAAGGGTCTGTTATGTTCCAAGATTCTGAAATTTTTTCAGATTTTGAATCTAGATTCAAAGAAGAATAATGAAGTGATTTTTTGGGTGACCTGACAAGTGTTTAGCACCCTGCTGTGAGATAGAACTTGGTCTGTAAATAGCAAGTTTGCACGCATCATCATGTAGTACAATGAAGTTTTTGGATACCAATAAAATCAGACATCCCACTCAACTGAGACAACCCTTGTAGATCACGCACTTCTTCTCTGAACTTTTTCACTATTTTCCCCATGGAAAAACATTGATACTTCTTGTCCCGCCACTGCTGAGCATATATTTCCCCTGGTAAGAATTCCATTTGTCCTTGGTAAGGCATGATTATGCCAAACATCCAATTGAGGCATGTTGTAGGTCACACTCTCATTTGCACTTATGGTGATGTGAAAACAACACTTTGAATCTCTATACTTATTACACCAGACCACAAAGCATCATCCGCATTCTCCCAATGCTTTTTGAGGAAGTATCCATTAGTTGAGAAGCAAACTTCAACTTTTTCATACTCCATGATTGACAACAGAGGATGCAAGATACAAACAATTCCTTTGTTACCACCCAGAAACTATAAATGAAAAAATCATGATAACTACATATTGAGACAGTGACATTAAAAGAAATACGATTCATAAAAACCATGTATGCTTCTCTAAAGAATGTACAGCTTTCTCATATCCCACACAATTCTTACTTGATAAGATTTTAGCACTAGAATAGGATTATCTCAGGTAGTCTAGAAAATGTAGGAGAACTCTGCATGCTTGCCTATGAAGAGACTGATAGGTATTCACACATATCATATACCTTATATACCCAAAACAATCAACAGAAAGACATACAGAATTTCTCCACATGAAGCAAGTCCTGGAAACCAGGTGAAATTCCAAGGTGAAATCTTGTACATTACATAATTTCCAGTACATAATACCAAAGCAAATGTCTCACTCACTTTTCTAATTAAAAAATTGTGCAACATCTTCAAATTTAGATTGCAAAGTTGTCTGCAAATTGGGTTCTATATAAGATGTTGTTCAGCTTCTTGCATTCCAAGATATTTGCAATTTTGCAGAATAACTTTTTTGTCAAAGTGCTTTGCTGATAAAAGCAGTGCGCATACCTTTGCTGATGAAAATTGTCCCACTTGGGGCATTCAATAAATAAAATGCAAAATTTCTAAAATGCCCAATCAATGTCAATGACGGAGTCCTAGCTACAGCCGCAATTTTTTTTTGAAGTTCCAATAGCATGCCTTCTTTTTTTTTTAAATAAAAATAGTCATGAAACTATGTTATTTGGAATCCTTCTCATCATTTTTAGAAGGAAAAACAATTTCAAAAAATTGCAGAGTTTTAAAAATTTGTTTTTTGTGGAAATTCATGAAAAGCTGCCCCCTGTTTCAAGAAACCATAAAGGCCTCAAGCTGGGTGGTCAGGGATTTTGATCTTATTTTGTCACCACAAATACATTTTTAAAATCTATGTTATTGGGTATCATTCTTTTTATTTTGTTTTTTGGAAGTGAAAACCATTTTAAAAACTCAAAAAGTTTCAGAAATGTGTTTGGCACCAAAATGCATGAAAAGCAGCCTCCAATTTCAAGGAATGACAAATGGCTTAAGCTGTTCTGTAACAGAATTACTGGGTGACTTGCTGGTAGTTGGAAGGTTGGGCCCAAGTATTTTTGGGCCCAATTAGGCTGCCTCTTGATCCCCTTTGTATTCCTTTTGACAGGTCAACAGGTAAGCTGTGACAAAACAGCTTAAGCCTTTTGTCATTTGTCAAATTTTGTCCATGAATTTTGGAATAAGAGAGAAATTTAAGCATCTCCAATGTTTTAAAATTGTTTTCCCTCTAAAAAACATGAAGAGAATGATAACAAATAACCTAGTTTCAAGAATATTTTTATTTAAAAAAATGAGAAGGCATGCTATTTGAACTTGAAAAAAAATTGCACTTTGGCCTTAACATTGATTGGGCATTTTAGAAATTTTTCATTTTATTTATTTAATCCCCCGAGGGGGACGATTTTTATCAGGAAAAGAATGCGCGCTTCTTCCAACAAAAAAAGTTTTTTTTGCAGACTTGCAAATATCTTGGAATGTCAGAGGCAGAGAAACATTGTATATGGAACATAATTTGTAGACAACTTCGCAATCTAAATTTTTATGTGCTGCACAATTTTTTAATTGGAAAGTTGAGTGAGATATTTGCTTCAGTATTTTGTACTGGGAATTACATAATGTACAAAATTTCACCTTGGAATTTTTCCTGGTTTTCATGACTTGTTTGATGTGGAGAAAGCCTGCGTGTCTTTCTGTTGATTGTTTAGGGTATATGATGAAATTCAGATTGCAAAGTTGTCTAAAAATTATTTTCTACATAAAATGTTGCTCCGCCTCTTACATTCCAAGATATTTGCAATTCCGCAAAATAACTTTTTCGTCGAAATGCTGTGCTGATAAAATCAGCGCGCATTCTTTTCCTCATGAAAATCGTCCCCCTTAATAGGCATTCAATAAATAGAAAATTTCGAAACTGCCCAATCAATGTTAAGGCCAAAATGCAATTTTTTTGATTTTTTGAAGTTCCAATAGCATGCCTTTTTAATTTTTTTGAATAAAAATATTCTTGAAACTAGGTTATTTGGTATCATTCTCTTCATGTTTTTTTTAGAGGAAAAACAATTTCAAAAAATTGGAGAGCTTTGAATTTCTCTCTTATTCCAAAATGCATGGAAAGCAGTCACCAATTTTGACAAATGACAAAAGGCTTACCTGTTGACCCGCCGACGGGAATACAGAGGGGACTAAGAGGCAGCCTAATGGGCCCGAAAATACTTGGGCCCATCTTCCGCACCCCAACCCGCCGACGGGAATACAAAGGGGATTATAACACAGCCTAATGGGGCCCAAAAATACTTGGGCCCCATCTTCGGACTATCGCCACCAGGTGGGTTACACCAGGAGGTGGGGTTAATTCTCCCAGGGAAAGCTTAGGAAATTCATAGGATTTTTGAGGCACCTGAAGTGTGTATTAATTGTGAAATATTGCTTTCAAGACTGCTGGCCTTAGACTGCAACCTCAGACAGTGCCAGAGAGGATTGCAAGGGCTGAAGCCCTGCTGACTTGTTTTTCAACTTGCCTGGTATATCGGGTACCGTTGTAGTAGAATGCGAATGTGGCCACTAGACCAACAATTTTTTCTTCTAATCCTCAATCATGAAACCTTCTCAAGTCTGATGTTGTGATTGTACACTGATGCACAGCATCTTGGTGAATGTGGAGGGGAATTAACTGAATTTCTTCCAGTCAGCATAAATATCATCTTTTAATTATTACTTCTAGAAAAGAATTGGTAAAATTGTAGAGAATGTGGAGGTTTAACTATATGTGAGATTTCTGAAGAAAAAAAAATCAGAAGGATAAAACTCGGCTTGTTTCTAGGTTGACCGAATTTTTCCGCAATGAAGGCTTACATTTATGGAAGATGTGTCGACGAAAACTGCAATGCTAATCAAATCATGAGAGCATGAATATTTCTTGCGGGAAATCCAACCAGGTCTGAGTATAAACAATTCCAGTCTTTCTGCGCATGTGAAATGAAATTTCCCTATGTAAGAGAAATTTTCACAATTTTCTTGGAGTTTTTAATCCAAGAAGAGGATTTTAAGAAACTTACACAATGGAAGTGTCAGTTCTGAAAGTCCTGGAAAGAAATCAGAGGAATAAAACTCAGCTTATTTCTATGTTCACTGTATTTTTCCTGAATAAAGGCATATACAGTATTTTTTTTCTCACTGATGTACGCAATAACATGTAACATTCTTCATGTCATGAGAGTATGAATATTTCTCAAGGGAAAATCAAAACAAAAACGCGTTTCTGCAAATTCCGATTCTCAAAGGCCTTCAGCAGGTTCTTCTCCTTCATTTGCCGGAGCTGGGTTTTCATCTTCAGGCTTAGGTCCACAGAATAATGCAATAATTTCATCATAGAATTTCTGTTTCATGGGGAAAATCCCCGCAAATTTCCCGGGAATCTGCCTGAAAACGCTCTGAAGTTCTGCAACACTTTGGGTATTCGTTCCTTCGGGATTTGCAAAAAGAATCGCAAATCTGGCTTCTGGATTTCTGAGTCCATTCGGGTTTGATTTCGTAGCGTTTTCCTCTGTTTTCCAGGCATTTGAACTGGGGATTTAACCCATTAAACGTTTTAGGCATGAAAAAAAAGAAGATTGTGTATATTTTACTCACTTGAACTTGGAACTCTTTTCTCTTGATCCGCATTGAACGTAGTTCAACACCAGACAAAGCACGAAGAACGTCAAAATTTGTAAATGTTTCGGGACTTGCATTTTGTTTTTGGAATCCACTGCAAAATTTCAATCTTTCTCAGAAATGTTTCGAAGTCAGACTGAGTGAATTTGGTAGAACATCTGCAGGGTTTTTATACGTCGGAAAAAGTTGCTCAAAGTTTCGTGAAAAGTCACATCGGAAGTGATATGGGAAAGATTTTCAAGAGGCAAAATAAATTTTTCAACATCCTTGTGAATTTTCTGGTCCACTTCCAAGCGTCAGAAAAACTTGCGAATTTTAGGAGTAGACTTGCTTTTTTGTTTTTTGCTTATTCAATTTTTTATTCTTTCCAGATTGAAAAAGCATTTCCTTGGAATTGAGGATGTTTCAGCTGATTCATGAGGCCGTTTATAATTGAGATAGAAACAGTCTCTAGTTGCTTTATTTTCTTGTCTTGTGGAAAAGGTTTTGAGAGAATTGAAAACGATTTTCAAGGTCATCTCGAATTCCATTTGACCAGTCAAGTAAATCAGCGTTTAAAACAGATTGATGAAATCTTCTAGACTATCTAGAGAAATTCGCAGGATTCTCCACAAAGGAACTTACGGAATGTCGTAAGATGAAATTTATTTTGTGCATTACAAAATCCAAGAACTTCTTGAAGATGAATGATGAACTGTGGAAGAATCAAGTTGAAACACCATTATGAAGCATTTTTGC